GCATTTTTAGACTTTCCCCGCTAACCGTCTTCCCTCCGTGAAATTTTAATACTCGTCATATCAATTTACACACTATATGTATATTTGCACTTTACACACAAAAAGAGACTTTTTTATTCTTCGGAAACCAATCCTCACCCCTTGAGGGTGCTATCACCCCGCGGAGAACGCATGATCGTTCCTGCAGATGACAGAGGCCTCCTCCCGGGCAGGAACGTGAGACAGAAGGCGCAGAGGCTCCTCGCCCCCAACTCTCTGCATCGAGGCTTTGTGCTTGGCTGCATCCTAAGTGCCCGCGCATAGCAGGTGTTAGTGAACAAGCCGATGCAGATGCTGGGGAACTGGGCACCTGGCAGAGTCTCCATCTGTGCGAGCCTCAGGTGAGGAGGGAGGAGGGAGGGAGGGGCCGCGCCTGGGCCTTTACCTGGCAGGTGGACCGAGTTGGGCTGGGAGGGAGGCGCCTCTAATCTTATTCCTTGGATTGTGCTGCCACCTAGTGGGCATTTACCTGCATTGCCTTCTTTTTGGTGCTTCCAGCCATTATGGGACCACTGCGATCAGGGAGGGACCCTTGCCTTCCTCCATCCCCACCTGCCTCCTCAGACTCTTGCAGCCTCCCCAGCAGCAAGAAGGGCCTGCAGACCACTCTTCCTTCTGCGTTTCTGTGAGATGCCCGCCTTCCCCTTAGTTAGCACCCACCACCGCCCTCAGGGCTCAAGCCACTCGGCCTCACTAACCACGCTTCCAGCAGGAGGCGCAGTACCGTCTGTCCCTGAGGGCACACTGGGAGGCAGATGCTGTTCCCCGGCCCATGGCACAGGTGAGAAAACCTCACCCCATGCGCTTGGGAAATGCCGCACACTCTCAGTTTTGGAGAAACGTCTTGTGGGATCCAGGGGCGCGCTTTTGGGAACACTGGATTAGGGTCCTTTCTCATGCTCCCCAGGTGGCACAAGATGAGGATGAGCGGAAGGAGCGGGAGACGGTGGAGGGCAGAGAAGACCAATCTGGGAGGTGCAGAGGGCAGCGCGTGGGCTGACCCGAGGACTTTATAACCTGCCCCCGCCAACCTGCCCAGGTCTGGGCGACGACACAGCCACCTGCCGTGTCAAGCCCAGGAGCTTTCTCACCCCGAGAGTAGGTGGGGGCTGGGGTGGGAGGCGGTGAGCGCCACAGGCCTGGGAAGTCTCGATGCCCACCTCCCCGGGGGCAGGGGTTGGATTGGGTGGCCTCTGGAATGCCCCGATGCTGGGAGATGCCAGGGGGTGAGTCACTTGTGGGATGGGCACCTGCCCACCATGCCTGTTTGAACACGGCTGACATTTGCGAGTGGCTGCTTGTTCATTTGTTGGTGAGAGGGTTCAGAGGAACTCCCATGCCAGGCCTCTCTCAGGGGCCTGAATCCTGTGCGCTCTCTTGAGTGGGAGAGGAAGGCTGGGGGCCCAGCCAGCGCTGGCAGGTGGCGCCCAACCTGTCACCTGTCTCATGGTCACGGCCCTACAGCGGCCCATCCTGATGAACGCCCGTGGAGAGCTGTCCGCCTGCCTGTAAGACGCTCTATGAACACCACGCCCCTGCGGAAGCCCAGGGAGCCGTGAGCTGGGCTTCCTTGGCACTTTTATCTTTTTCCTCTTGGAAGGGAAGTGGGTGTTCATCAAGATCTCACAAGGGAGCATGGCTCACATAGAAATCTCATCCGCCGTCTTGTGCCCTAGCAGAGGGGAGTTGGGGGGGATGGGTTGGGTGGAGCACCTTCCAGAAACCTACCCAAAATGAGCATCCTTGCTCCTGGCTGGGGGCCCTGCTGAGCGGAGGAGGGAGGTCGTGGGCCCCAGCTCTCTGCTCCCAGCAGCCGACAGTGGTCGTACTACTGTGTGCTTGCCCCCCTCTCCCCCGCTCAGACAACCTCAGTGCTTGGCCATGGGATGGAGACATCGCTGAGCACGATCTAATGAAACGGTTTCCTGACACGCACTCCGCCTTCCATCCCCGTTTTTAAAGTTTGGGAACATTTGCCGACGAGAAGCCGAGTTCAGATGGTCAATACCACGTCAACAGCCGAGCACACTATGTGCCGTCCGTGTGCAGGACTCACCGAGGCCTTACCGCCAGCCCACCACACGGCCTTGTTATTACCATCACGCCACAAATAAGGGAGCCTGTAGGTGGGTTCCAGCCCCGGCGGGCTGCACGCAATGGCCTCACCACAGGGCCTCCAGCTGTGTCTGGGGTCAGGACCTGGCCGCCACTGGCCCCTGACCTGGATCCTGGTCCTTGTCCGGGGAAAGCATCTCCCAGCGGAGGCCCATCTCCGGAGGCTGGGAGGAGCAACTGGCCAATCTCTCTCCTTCCCGGGCCCCTCCTTCCCCGGCTCCTCCTTGTGCCCAGTGGGGAGGAGCGGCCACAGCAGGTTTCTCTCTGCGAGTGAAATAACAGGCAGAAGAATTTCAGTGGCCCTGTGGGGCCTGGGCGTCAGCAGGGCAGCTCGAATGCGGGGATGCTTCATTTCCAGAACGGAGGGCTGCGTGGGTCCCTGGAGGCCAGGGCTCAGGCGATGGGGCAGGACCGAGCCTTTCGTTCCTGGCATTGACTCCGCTGCCCTGACTTATTTTTTCTTGTATTCCTGGTTTATTATTTATAGAGCGGAAGGCGGGGGGCAGCTCCTTGGCAGGTGGGGTGTGCAGGGTGGAGCCAGGGAGTGGGTGTGAGGAGGGTGTGCTGTGTGTGCCGGAGGACGGAGGACGGTGTCTCTTGGGGAGCCGGGAGCTGGGCTGAGGGGAAGGGGGAGGTGTGATGGTGGGGTCTGTGCAATAATGACAGTTATCATCTACTACTGACTCACCCAACTCAGGCGACGAACGGACACCGGTTACCTCCCCTCGCCATTGCTCCCCAGGAGAGGCATTCCTAAACCCATTTTCCAGATACAGCGACGGAGACTCGGAGACGCGAAGTGACCTGTCTGCACCCCACCTCTGGTGTCAGAGGGAGGCTTCTAACCAGGTGTTCCATGTCCCCCAGTCTCCCCATCATAAGGGTTCAGTGAGGCAAGAGGGGACACATGAAAACCACTGCTCTCTCTAAACCTGTAAGATGGGGTTCCAGCAGGTCTTCCCACAGTATTGTCACCTAGTGCTTGTCACCTAGTCAACAAGGTGCTTCCCTGGGTGAGAGGATGGGGTGGGGGCCAAGGAGGTGGCATTCCAGCCCTTTTCTTAACTAGAGCGCCTTCCCTTTTAACGGCTTTGTGTGCTGTGCTTCTGCATAAGATTTGAAATGAGGCAGATCAGACTCTTCATTTGAAATGAAGCAAAGAGGTTGGCTGTGCAAATAGTGAGCTTGTGGATCAGGCCTTGCAGCGGGGGGGGGGGGGGGGGAGG